GTGTGTATATATGGTGGCAATATGTGGTTATATATAAAATAGATATAATTGTTTGTATATATATATATATATATATATATATAATATACAGTATAGATCTTAATAAAAATGTTCAGTGACTGTGAGTTTTGCAAACGTGTCATAAGAATATTTTATTAGTGTTAATGTTAACCCCACCAAGAGAATTTAAATACACTGAACCATGTGTTCAGCTTTAATGGCTGTACTCCTAAGATTTACAGAGGAAAAAATCGTGAGAATGAGTTTAGTATTCAGCTATGACTGATTAAACGCGCAAATACTTCATTGCTCCCGTTCAACAGGTTACACTGAGTGGAGCGGTCCACCGTTCCAAGATGGCGGCGCTACAGCTCGCCAGCGCCAATAGGCGATAGCGGTAAATGCTGTATCTAGTCATTATATGATATCTGCTTCCAGCGTTTCTCTCTAGTATCCTGATCTTGTTCACAGTCTCCTGCCTGCCCCTCGACCTCTGATTTTTGTCTTGCCCTTTTGTACCTCTGCTCATCTGCCTTTTTGCTGCCTTTACCTGCTTGTTTTTGGACTCCGAGTTTTGCCTTGCTCTTTGGTACTGTCGCCTTTTATCAGATCCTGTTGCCAACCTTGTTTCTGCCCACTGGATTGCCCACCCAAGACCACCGACGTCACTTTATGTAGATGAACATATTCTGTGATATATTCATAAATTAAACGGATTCATTCATTTTTCTGGACTGAATAATATCGTGCATTGAATTTAATAAATGTATCGTGAGACGTTAATTTTCTTTGACCCATCAAAATGAACGTGGTCATTTATTAACAGAATCAAAATTTAACATCAAACATTTACATTAATTTGGCAAAATTGAAAATAACAACAGGTTAATTAATCAGTTTACAATTAGAAAACCATACGGCGACGGTTTTCCTCACTTCAAGCTGTACAACAGACATTTCTAAAAATATCTGGAATGATTTCTAGCAGATAGAAGAGTTTAAAGATGGAAAGATGAAGTTTAGAGGGAGGGAGATGGTGTGTGAGGGAAAGTGACGACCACTGTGACGTTTCCGCGCTGTTCAGCGCTCTGCCTCCGGTCCATTGAGCCTTACAAGACCCAGCTCCTTGTCTACCAACACCAGCTGAGAGTGGCAGCTATTTATTTATTAATAAAACATTTTAAACCGCTCTGGATTCTTGTGGTTCTGATCCAACCTCAATCATTACACTATTCTGTTATTTTATTATGTTCTGTTCAATTCTATTCTGTTCTATATTCTATTCTATTATGATATATTATATTCTGTTATTTTCAATTTTATTGTGTTCTGTTCTGTTATATTCAATTCTGTTCTATTCTGTTTTGTTCTATTTTGTTCTCTGTTCTGTTCTGTTCTTTTCTATTTTCTGTTCTGTTCTTTTCTATTTTCTGTTCTGTTTCAGTTCCATTTTATTCTGTTGTGTTCTGTTCTATTCGAGAAAGCCTCTCAAATGAGAACTTTGTTTAATGAAAAAGAAAGCAAGTTTCTTTTTCCCTAAATTTTAGTTTTATCCACATCCTGGATGACTGAGAATCTTCACAAACAATGTTTTGTTTTTTTGTTTTGTTTTGTTTTGTTTGTTTGTTTTGTTTTTGTTGCGGGCAGTGATTTTTTTTTTAAGTGTTGAAGACTTAGGTGTCCAACAGGTGGCACAAAAGGACTTTATTAACCCCATCTCGGAGCGTGATCATTTATTTAAGAAATCAAATGAATGAATCTCAAGAAATGTGGATTTGTTCATTCACTGCCAAATTTTATCACACAATAAAAATCAGAAGCTCATTAAATATATTCTTAGATTTCACTTTAAGTTTATTACATCTTAAAATATATGTTATCCTTAACTAACAGTGCTTAATAAGATGCTGGATGTGGAGGTCCTGGTCTGTGGTTACACGTTGTCTGTGGTTGTGAGGCTGGTTGGATGTTCTGCCAAATTCTCTGAAACTTTTCTGGAGACGACAGAGGAATGAACATTCAGTTCATGGGCAACAGCTCAGGTGGACGCTGCAGTCAGCATGCCAAGTGCACACTGCCTCAAAGTTTGCAACGTGTGTTATTGTGCTGTGACAAACTGCACAGTTTAGAGTGGCCTTTTATTATGGTCAGCCTCGGGTGCACCTGTGCAATAATCTAGCTGTCTGATCAGCATCTTGATCTATTTTACCTGTGAGGTGGATGGATAATCTCAACAAAGAAGTGCTCACTAACACACATTTACACAAATGTGTGAACAGCATTTGATACATAAAGGCCTGTTGTGTACAAAGAAAGTCTTAGATCTTTGAGTTTAGCTCATGGAAAATGGGAGCAAAAACAAGAGTAGCATTTATACTTTTGTTCAGTGTATTTTTAAAATGCTGCATTTTGTATCCTGATGCTCAATAATCCAGGTAGAAAAATCCAAAAAAGTTCAATCTGGTCCTCTGGACTTTCAAAAAAACAAAAAAACAAAACAAAGCAAAAAAATATAGAAACGTTTTGTCTCTCATCCGAGAGACTTCCTCAGTCTGAGGTGCTGTATTCAGCTCAGTCTCTTAAATAGCACCTTCTCAGAGTGGATCAACCAGTTTGCTGCTGACAACCAAAACCAGCTGATCACATGGTCAAGAAGGACCATCAGCCTAACAATGGATCATTAGCACACTGATGGCTGTTTACTATTCACAGAGGGCTGAGTGATACCAGCAATCACAGCATTGTAAGAGGGGGACAGTTGAACCCAGAGGCCTCCACCCCTGTTTAATGATGGACGATTTCTTTTCACAAAGATGGCCTCCTTTACTCCTCTCTCAAACCATCGTTCCTCTCTATCCAGGATGTGAACATCTTCATCCCTGAAAGAGTGACCGCTGGCCTGGAGATGAGTGTAGACCGCAGAGTCCTGGCCTGATGATGTTGATCTTCTGTGCTGGGCCATCCTTTTGGCCAGTGGCTGTTTTGTTTCCCCGATGTAAGACTGATCACAGCCCTCCTGACACTGAACAGCATACACAACATTGCTCTGTTTGTGCCGGGGGACTGGATCTTTGGGATGAACCAGTCTTTGCCGTAATGTATTTTGGGGTTTAAAAGCCACTGGGACGTTATGTTTAGAAAATAAACGTCTCAGTTTCTCTGATACTCCCTCAACATATGGAATGACCACTGGTTTGCGTCTGGGTTCCTCCTTTTCACCTGATGGCTGACTGGAGTCCTGTTTGGGTTTCTTCTCTGCTTTCAGGAAGGCCCAGTTAGGATATCCACATTGCTCTAGAGCCTGTCTTGTGTGGGATTTCTCCTTCTGCCTGGCTCCCGAGCTAGTGGGGATGCTGTCTGCTCTGTGATACAGAGTCCTGATGACTCCTAACTTGTGCTCCAAAGGGTGATGGGAGTCAAACTGCAAATACTGGTCTGTGTGGGTGGGTTCACCTCAGTTTGCAAATGTCCTCTATCAGAGACTGAGACCTCACAGTCCAAGAAAGCCAACTTGCCATTTTTTTCATCTTCTCGTGTGAACTTGATGTATTTATCCACAGAGTTGATGTGGTCAGTAAAATGTTGGACTTCCTGAGATTTGATTTTAAC